TTCAAAGAAGTCACTTTCTTCTCTACCATACTCAACATTACACGACACTTTTCGATGCCTAGTATGCACATGAAGTTCGAAATAATGCGAGTAAAACAAATAGGCTTCTTTAACCAAATATGCATTGTATATTGATCCTTCCACTTTAGCCTTATTCTTAACATTGTTTTTTATCTTCCACGAGTACTCGCAATATAAATTATTTTAATTTTTGATAGTTGAAAAATTTCTTTAGTTTTACATTTGAATTCAACATCAATATCTTTCAAATGGATACATCCACCAATATTGCACAAGTCCTACAATAGATATCTCATATGGCGGATGGATTGGAAGATATTCTTTGGAGTCAAAAAAGTCTGTATGGGAATATACACTCTAGTTTGCACAAAATCATTGGTATCTCATCATTAATCCGTGCATATCTTCTTCTTTTATCACTGTAAAATTCAATTGCTTAAAGAACAAACTCAAATCTATACGTGTTTGCCAAACATTTCTTGTCAAAACTCCAAAAATGCAATTAGAAGTAACCTCCGTATAAAGACGTGACGATCATGACTTTTCATCCTATAAAGTTTTTCATGCTACATATCAACACATCTAGTTAGATTAGACACATATCCATAGAGAAACCTAAGTTGTTTGATCCATTCAAGCAATTTTGTTTTTTTTTTTTTTTAATTTAGATATAGTAAAAGCTGACTTTAGGATACTTCCTAGACATATCATCATTTGCTAATTTTGGCCTTTTATAGAAAATTTTTAAGTCTTTCTTAGAGTTAGCACTTGTCTTTAGTCTTACCGGCACATTTATGATTATGTTAATCAAACGTATTTTTCTCAATATGCATCATATCTAAATTTTACGGAATTAGATTTGTACTCTAGTAAAGCAAATACTAAAAAATACTCTATTTCCTTCATCCACACATATGAGAGATTATATTTTTATGATCATGTAAACCATCTTCCGTCACATTCAACAACCCCCATTGTTCCATCGGATGTAACATTTCTACTCCGGATAGGATTAGAGGAAGGCCGGATTTAACAATCTTTTCATGGTGAATGCTTTCTTTTTCTTCTATATGGATGATTTTGAGGAAAAAACTTTTGGTGATTGTCAAACCACAAGGTCTTCCTTCCATTAGGAAGGGAGAAAGCATCTAAATTTTCCATCTAGTAATGACAAGCTTGTTTTCCTAAAGTACTTCAATTAAACGACATCGAATATATAAGAAAGTCACCGATAATCCACATAACTATAGCTCTCGATAGAAAATTCTACTTACGATATACATCGTAGGTCACTACACCCACTTTCCATAACTGAATAAGCTTATATATGAAAGGTTATAAGTAAACATCCAACTTATGTTTCAAATTTATTGGGCCTAAAAAAATCAATATTAGGAACATATATTCCTCCTTCATACACATCCTTGGCAGCAAATTGTATGGACTCACAATGGTCGACCACGAAGAATATTCCATAGTAGATTGACTAAATAGTTAAAACCCATCGGTGCACACTTCTAATATGGTGTTCCTTCTTTCATCCGTAAAAGGAAGATTAATCCGATTGAAACTTTATCATGCAAAAGAATCAAAGGGATGACACATTACTCCTACATCATCTAGCTCATCTTTGGAATGCAACGTCATGTACGCATTTGTCACGTTGAATGCATACAATCCCTACGAGACGTGGGGTTAGAGGAAAGTAGTATATTTTTTTAATTGAAACAAGTTTTGCTCTTGTCAATCCTCGATGGGAACTTTGATATCGAGGATGTTGACAAAACTTGCGTTTATCTAATTCACTATTTTCCTTCTAATAGATCATCCAATTGTTCGACAACAATGAATTTTTTCCACTAGTCCCTTTAACTAGCTTCTTTGTTTTGTAAAAATTATTTGTCATACGATTATTAGCCAGCATCAACTCTTTCATCAACTCATAATTGATCGAAATACTTCTCTAGAAAATGATATTTGATTTTTAGATTCAACATTCGAGTAACTACCGACTATTGCGAGTGCTCATTACAACCAGAGCTAAATCTCTCATGTGATGCATTCAACATATCATAAAAGTGCTAAACATCATGATTTGAAACATCCTTAGTGCTAGACAAATCAAAGGATGGACCGATTGCATCCATTATAATAGTTTGATATGGGTTTTGGGGTTCAATAGAACTACCTTCGTCTAGATAATAATTTTCACAAACATAATGATTGCTAGAATAAATATATGCCATGTAGGATTCAAATTCATCAAGATATATCCAATCATAATATCTCGGTACAAAATCCTTATGGCATAAATGATATTTTACCGTTTCAACGTCCTCATAATTTTTGTTTCGACACTTACTGTAATTATAAAGTCACCTAATTATGGTTCTATCCATATATTCGGGATGCTCAATAGCGAAAGCTAAAAATTATTCTACCCTATTGACAAAGTCATCATTTAATAACCTTTGAACTAACCTAACACTCATCCACTTGTCGATTGGATCTCATTTTTGTAATTACTTGTAAAAATTACACAACACATGCAAATAATTATTGATCATCATTCCTATGAATTTTAAATAAAAATTAAGCATATATATTGGTTGTGTAAATAACGATACTTGTTAGGAATTTTGTTTTAAGAATTTGACTTTATATTTAATTGATTGTTTAAAGAATGATTACATCTTCTTTTTGTTATTTTATTTTTAAATATTTAATTTTATAATATTCAATGATTCATTGTGCAATTTTATTTTTTTACATTTTCTTCCCTAACTTGCCATTAGTACACCTATTTTCACTTTATTTCAATCGAGTTCTTGAACTTTGATTTTATTTTTTTATGCTTGTCTTTTTTTTTATTATACCATTTAAACACTTTCATTAAATTTTATTTTCTCTAATAAAAGAACCCTCCAAAAAATAATATTATATTTCATAATTTCAAATATTTTAAATAAAATAAAATAAATTTAAAAATTCTATTAATTAATGAAAAGTTATCTATATCAAAGCTAAAAACGTTTATATTTATTAAATTTTCCTAATTAATTTAATAATAAATTCAACTAAATGTAATTAAATTAATCCTAAATGAAATGTTTATTAAATTTTAACCTTATTGCAATCGGGTTAATATTTGTATATCAAAACTAGTTTTTTTCAGATTAAATCTTTAATTACAAGATTTTGATTAAAGAATGATTTCAATTAAATCTTTAATCAAAGAACGATTCTAATTTTTTTTATTACATCTTTATTCCAATTGTTTTTATTTTTTGAACAGTTAAATCATTATTTTCCTTCATTGTTAATGATTTAGCTATAACAATTACTTCGACACTTATATTCGAACTAACCATAAATCAAATTAATTTCATTAGATTAATCTTAACTAATTACATCAATCCAAATTTAAATATTATATAAATTTAAAAATAACAACAAACAAATTAAAAATATTAAGCTAATAACAAATTAAAACAAAAATAATAATAAATTAAAATTTTTTTTAAAAAAAAATTAACCAACCAATTAATAAAGAATAACTTAACAAATAATCAACAAAATTTAACTAAATTACCTAAAACATTATATAATTAAAAATTCACTTAAAAAAAACAATTAACAAAATTCAACTAATATGTAACATAAATAAATAAATAAAAATTAAATAACTAAAATTTAACCTAACAATTAATAAAAAATAACTTAACAATAACCTTAACTAAATTACATAAATAAAATTTAACCTAAAAATTAACATAATTAAAAAGTAACACTTAACAAAATTAATCTAATAATTAACAAAATTAAATAAATAATTAACAAATTTACACTAATAATTAACATACAAATTAACATAATTAAAAATTAACCTAACAATCAAAATTAACAACATTCAAACAATTATTTAAAAAATTAAACTAATAAATAACGAGATTAAACAAATAATTAATCAACTAATAAATAACAAAATTAAAATAAAAAATTATAACATTAATTTAATTTAAAAAAACAAAAGAGTTAGATAGAGAAACAATTGCCAAAGATATCTACGAGAGAGGGGAGAGACTGCATTGGAGTTTGGGGGAGAAAGATGCACCTCATCGTGTTAGATGGTCCGGGAGGCGGTGGTTGGCGTGGGGTGGGAGGGGGGGGGGAGAGATTTAGGGGTGGTGTACGTGTTTTGTGGAGGAGAGGGAAAGACCCGAATGAAGAAGAAGAAGAGAAACTACCTAGTTATAGGAGTTGTTTTTAACGACGGACGCATTGCCATTACTAATTTGTCACTAATTAGCGACGAAAATAAGTGTCCGTCGCTAATTTGAATTCCAAATAGGCGTCGAATCTTTAAAAATTTTAAGAAAATTGCCAATTAGCGATGGATTTGGTGATTCGTCTCTATTTAAAATTCAAATTAGCGATGGAATCCTAGTCCGTCGCTAATTTGAATTTCAAATTTAACCCTTGGAATCCCCAAGAGCTTGTTATTTTGGGACGGAAAATATTTGTCGTAAGTTACCGTCGGATAGCGACAAAATTGCTTTCTATCACTAAATCAATGATGGAAGTCCGTCGTTGAATGTGGCACTTTTTTTACTATGTTATTTACCGATAGTTTGAATTTCGTTACTGAATTTCCATCGCTATTCCGTCGTTGTTTAGTTGCAAAAATTTCCTTCTTCCACTTCGTTGCTAATCCGTCGTTAATATTTGCCTTCATTTAGAAACGAAATAAAATCCGTCACTAATATACGTCGCTAATTTCTTATTTTTTTGTAGTGTTAACTCTACATAATGTATTAAACTGGAGGTTATATCCACGTCGGTCTCCACAATTTAGAACAAATAGTGTGTAAGTGTACCCTTTAGTCCCATGACCCTTTTTTTTTTTCTAAGTAAAGGTAACGTTGCAATTAATATCTTGGATTGATTAAATTTGTGATCCTCCTACTACAAGAATTTGATTAATTGGATCCCTTTGCTACCTTTTGATTAATAGACAGGAGCAGAGCTAGGGGGTGTAGATGGAAGCCACGGCCCTCCTGCAAAATTTGAAAAAAAAAAACCCTAAATTTTAATCATTGTTGCCATACAGGTCCTAAGATATACATATAAAATAATATTTTTTAATGAAAAAAACTAGGTTTTAGTCCCTAATTTATAACTTTTAATTCCAATGTTATCTGTGTGAATGATTTTTCCATCTCCATATATTCTCCCATAAAAAATTTCTAGCTCCATCATTGTTAATGAGGTCCCTCTGTCATGCATACATTTTGTTTCCAACCCTTATAAACGATGACATTAAGAATATTTTGTTGTCATGCTGGCCGCGTGACATTTGTCCGCATGGAAAAAAAAATAGTCTAAGAATGATATAATATATGTTTCTTGAAATTTTCAACAATTAACAAAATCTTCTTAATTAAATAAATGCTATTAGGTATACCTTTTAATTTTCAACAATTTTTTAATTTCATATACTACGCAAATTAATGGACATATTCCCATACTCATATGGATAACTATCAACATCCATTTTCAAAGTCAACGTCAACTCATAAATTAATTATATGAGAAAGGAATTATAAATTCCACAAGAACAAATTAGCCCTATCTCCCAATAATTTTTTTTTCTTTTTTGTAATTTCCCACCTGCTACATCCAAGTCAATAACCAAGTCGTTGTCTCATCACAAATTCTCAACTCGAACATGTAAATTCTTTATTCTCCAAATATATATTCAAGGAATAGTCAAATTTATTAATTAGTCCTTTGCATATTATTCAATGTTCCATCAAATATGTACTGAAAGAAATCAGGGTTTTCACCTTTTGGTAAGAAAATGATGTCACGTTAGCTGTCTAGGCATTCAAAGAAAATTGTCCCTAATAACAGATTAAATTCAGCTGCAACATTGCTACGGTCCATCGTCTCTCCAGGAAACTTTTCAGAACACAAAACTCATAAATAGGATTTGTTCAGAGCCCGTCATTTCCTGGTAATTATTGTCCTTTGCTGGCTTAGGTTACTTATTTTGGCCATGCATGTTTTCTTTTCCCAAGCTTTTTTGTATCTGTACTCATTCTTCACCTTGCTTTGATTTGTCATTGTTATGCTATTAATACAAACATTAGGAATTGATCAATTTCTAACCTTCTAAGTAGATACTAAGAGGCTAATCTATTTGTTGTGTATTTCAGTTTTGAGCATGACAAAATACCTATGTATAGAAATAGAAGAACAAAAGAGTAGGAGAATGAGGAAAAAAAAAGTTTTTTTCCTCTCATGAGAGGTCCTTAAAATAAATTAGATTTTTTTTTCCTCTCTCATGACAGGTCCTTAAAATAAATTAGACTATTTTTTGTCAAAATTAGAAAATATATAGATTTGAAATTCTCGATCTATTAACAACGCAATTCCCTGTAACAGCTGTAGCGTCTCCTTCTTCAAACAGGTCTTTTCCTTCAGCACAAGCATCAGCTTCAACCAGGTCTCCTCCTCTAGAATCAACAGCAGTCACGGCACATTACAGCAGCAGCAGACACGGCAAACACTGTAACAGTAGCTAAGGATTATATCTGTAAATAGATAGGAATTGTAAAGATTCAAGAGTTCTACTCTCTACACACTTGTAAACCTATAAAAGGAAGAGTCACAAACTGAAATAAAGTTAAGCAAATACATTATATATTCCTCTCCTCAAGTTCTAATCTGGTATTAGAACCATAAAGGCAAAACTGCCGCAGGTTCCTTTTTTTTTTCAGATCCATTACTCATCCTCTCCGAGCAACTCTCCATGGCCTCTTCCACTAGTACACCCTCTTCCATTGCCAACCCACTACAAACCTCACCCAATCACTCAACTCACTCATGCTCATCACTTCATCTCTCTGAAACTTACCAACACCAATTTTCTACTTTGGCGTGTTCAAATGAAGCCATTTTTACTTGGACAAAGCCTTTGGCTTCATTGATGGATCTACTCCTTGTCCCCCACGCCAAACTCTTTCTACTGAAACTGATATGCCTCAACCAAACCCATCCTACCTTGCTTGGATACACCAAGACCAATCCTTGATGAGCACACTAATTTCATCTATTTCTACCGAGGTGCTTCCAATGATCATTGATTGCACTACTTCCAAAGATGTACGGTCTGTTCTTGAAAGTACTCTGACTTCTTCCTCTAGCATACACCTCATGACCTTGCACCTTGCCTTGTAGAAAATCTGCTAAGACCCTGCTGAACCAACCTCTCAGTACTTACAGCATGAAAAATCATACAGTGATGAACTCACTACTGCTGGCCGACCTCTTTTAGCCATTGATTTCAATCTATATGTTTTCAAAGGATTATTAAGTGACTTCAAAGATCTTGTCACTACTCTATCTACCCTCTCAGAACCAGTAAACTTTACTGATCTTCAAAGTCTCCTTCTAAGCTATGCGTTTCTAACACGTGAATCCTCCTTTGATTCATAACCCTCTATGACAACCATGGCCTTGTTGCCCACACCTCCATCTGCTCATTTAATTCACAAATCTAATGAATTCAGCACTAATCATTTTAGCAGTGGTACCCGTGGAAGGGGTGGTTCCTTTCGTGGGCGAGGACATGGCAGATATTCCAACAGGTATGTGCCTAATTTTTCTTTTGATAATAGGGGCAACAGGTTCCAAAATGAGCATAAAAAATAAGTGTCAAATTTTCTCTTCTTGGACCCACATGGCTTTACACTGTCCTCAATGAACGCTCCAATCATTTCGTCATTCTGCCAATATTTTAGCCTTCTTCACTGCTCCTCCTCAGTCTTGGTGTCCTGACAATGGTGCTTCCCACCATATAACACTTGACTTAGCAACTCTCAGCACTTATGAACCGTATCTGAGTTTTGAACAGCTACAGGTTGGCAACGATAAGTACTTACCTCTTTAATATATTGGTTCAAGTATTATTCATAGTCCCTCTAAAAACCTTGATGTTCTACAAAAACCTCAAATTACTTGATGTTCTTCATGTACCACACATAACTAGGCCTTTATTATCTATTCAGCGATTAGCTCGTGACAATAATTTATTTTGAGAATTTCACCCTTCTTCTTTTTATGTTAGGGACAAGGTACATAAGACCCCTCTTCTTTTCGGCTCGAGTGATGTTGAACTCTATATCCTGCCACATTCAACCACTCCTATTCGTCCTCAAGCATATTCTGTTAGCGCTTCCACACAACTCTGGCACTTCAAATTGGGTCAACCGCATGATCGTGTCTTGTCCTCTATTTTAAAAACTCATAATTTATCATCTTTTACTAAATTATCTAGTCCTTGCTTATCCTGTACATTAGGAAAAGCAAGTCGTTTATATTTATCTTTGTCTTCTCATTTGATTACTGGTTTTTTGAATTTGGTTTTTAGTGGTGTATGGAGACTTTCACCTACTCCCTTTGTTGATGGCCATAAGTATTATGTCATGTTTATTGATCATTTCTCAAAATTTATCTATTATTTCCCGTTATGTAAAAAATCTGATGTCTTTGCAACATTTCTTCAATTTCAAAAATTAGTTGAATGTCAATTTAATTGTCAAATTAAACAAATTCAAACTGACTGGGGTGGGGAATTTCAAAAGCTCAGCAAATTTTTCAAATCGATTAGTATACTACATCGTATTCCGTGCTCATATACTCATGGACTACGTTGAGAGGCATCATTGCCAAATTGTAGAAACAGGTCTTACCTTATTAGGTGAAGCTAAAGTCCTTAGGAAATATTGGCATTTTGCGTTTGAAACTATAGTCTTTCTCATTAATCGCATGCCATAGTCTGTCACTACTAATAAATCTCCATTTCAAATTGTCTTTAACAGACTACTCGACTCCTCTTTTTAAAAATATTTGGATGTCTATACTTTTCTTACGTACGCCTTTACAATAAAAATAAAATGGATTTTCGCTCCACTTTTTGTGTCTTTCTTGGTTACAGTCCATCCTACTTAGGATATCGTTGTCTTGACACATCTAAAAATCAATTTTATATCGCTCGTCATGTTTTCTTTGTAGAAGCAAATTTTCCAATTGCTCTATCTAAAGATTTGCCCACACCAAATTATTCTCCAGCTTCAATTCCTCCTTGGGCGTCTGTTCCTATTCGGGTCCAATTTCCTACCATGTCAAATTCTTCAAGGCAGCATCACTCAAAGGCTACTGCACAACCCATGCTTGCAATCCTTCTACACACCCAGTACATACCCACACAAACAACCTACTGCCAACCTGTAACTCCTTATATCATAATAGCTCCACTAATTCATTTCCTTTACAGCCTGCCTAATCCCATGCCTAAATCACCAAACCAGGCCCACAACCTTTCCACTGGACAGTCCACCCCAACCCACCTCTCCCATAACATCATTTCACTAATATCCCATCCACAATCAGCCCCCAGCTTAGTAATCCCTCTCCAACACAAAATCTGAACCCCCAAATCTCTAATTTTAAAATTACAACGGATGGCTCTATTGCCTCTCCCGTCTAGCAGCTCCCATCTTCCCCCATTCTCCACAAACACACTCAACAATAAAACTCACCAAACCCCATTCTTTCCTCCACTTCTCCCATTAATTCTTCCCCCACCCCACCTGGCTTGGACCTGATTTTAGATTTTAGGGATTATGATTTAGCTCCCATTTCACCTGGTACTAACCTACAGTAGCCACAAGCTTCTAAACCTCCATGCACACATCCTAATGTGCTCCGTTCCATGGATCCTTTATCCAAACCCTCTACATCACTAGCTACTTCAGCAGCCCTAATTCTAGAAACACCCACATGTGTTTTCAAAGCAAGAAAGGATGCAGAGTGGCACTCTGCCATATCCAATAAGCTCAATGCCCTGCATAAAACTCACACTTGGAGCTTAGTGCCTCCAATGGATTTTATGAATGTAATTTGCAACAAGTGGGTTTTCAAGACAAAGAAGAAGACTGATGGAAGCATTGAAAGATAGAAGGCATGGTTAGTAACCAAAGGCTACCATCAACAAGTAGGAGATAATTATCATGAAACATTTAATCCAGTGGTCAAGCCTTTTACAATCAGGTTTGTCCTATCACTGGCGGTCTTTTTTGGTTGGGAATTTCATCAATTGAACGTACATAATGCATGTCTAAATGACAGACTGGTGGAAGAGGTATTTATTTCTCAGCTAGTGGGGTTTGTTGACATGCGATTTTTTGACTATATGTGTAAGCTGCATAAATCACTCTATGGCTTGAAGAAGTCATCAAGGGCCTAGTTCTCATGTCTCCAAGAGTTTTTACTTGCTTTTGGCTTTTGTTGGTTCCAAAACTGACTCTTTATTGTTTGTCTACAATAGGGATGGCTATAAAGTCTTCCTCCTAGTTTATGTTGATGATATTATAATCATGGGTAACCACTCTTCTCTCCAGCACTCTGTAATAACCATGAACTCTCCATTTGCCATGAGAGACCTTAGATCCATTAGCTTATTTTTAGGTATTGAGGTAGTTCCAACTACGAAGGGAATTATTCTATCTTAGAGGAAGTACATCAATGAGATTTTGATGAAGCATGGCATGATGAATTACTGACCTGTCACGACACCCATGCCAACCACCTCCAAGTTAAGCAACGTGGTAAGCTTTGTCTTTAATGAACCTACCTTACCATATGTCACCTTGACACGTACTAACATTGCTGATGCAATGAATAAAGTCTGTCAATTTATGCATGCTCTAAAATCGGACCATTGGATTGCTGTTAAATGCATATTATGTTACTTGAGACACACTGTAAATCATGGTCTCTACCTTCTTAAGTCCAACTCCACCGTACTTTCAGGTTTTTCAGACTCTGATTCGACAGGTTTACTATATGATAGAAAATCAACGGGTGATTATGCCATTTGCCTTGGTCCAAATTTAATCTCCTGGAAATCCTCCAAACAAAAAAAGTAGCCCGTAACTTCACTAAGGCAGAATACAAGGCGGTGGCTAATTTAGCTGCAGAAATGATTTTGGTGTCTTCACTTCTAACTGAACTTGGGTTGCCTCAGCATACGGTTCCTACAATTTAGTGTGATACTATAGAGGCCACCTACCTGGCAGTCAATCTAGTTTTTTACGCCTACATGAAACATATTGAAATTGATTTTCATTTTATCAAAGACTTGGTCGCTAGGAGGAGCTTACAGGTGAAGTTTATCGCCAGTCAGGATCAAATAGCAGACATTTTCACTAAACCCCTGTCTAGTGCACAGTTTGCTTTCTTGAGAGACAAACTTACAGTTGGCAAATGCCCACTATTAGTTTGTGGGGGAGTATTAACAATGAAAGTCCCTGTAATAGCTGTAGCGTCTCCTTCTTCATCCAAGTCTCTCCCTGTAGCGTCTCCTTCTTTAACCAGGTCTCTTCCTCTAACACAAGCAATAGTTTCAACCAGGTCTCTTCCTCTAGAATCAACAGTAGTCACGGCACATTACAGCAGTAGCAGACATGGCAAACACTGTAATATTAGCTAAGGATTATCTTTGTAAATAGATGGGGATTGTAAAGCTTTAAGAGTTCTACTCTCTACACACTTGTAAGCCTATAAAAGGAAGACTCACAAATTGGAATAAAGTTAAACAAATACATTATATATTCCTCTCCTTAAGTTCTAATCTGATCTAAAAAGTTTTATAACAAATTTTGTGTTAAAAAAATTAAGCCTCAAGTCCCAAAACCTTGGAGATCTAAATAGTTTGAGACTAAAGTCGTCACCTAGAGGGCATACTTGAAAACTTCAGGGATGAAAAAATATTTTGTCCTTGATATATCTAGAACGAATTCCATCCCCTTCTTTATACGTAAATGAGTTTTCATCCCTCCAGTCACATATAGACATTAAATAAGTCTCCTATGTTTAGACGTACTTAGGCTCCGTTTGTTTAGGGGAAAACAAGTTCCATAGGAAAATCAATTCTCGAGAAAGCTATTTTCCTAGAAATTATTTTTTAAGAAAATATTTTACTGTTGTTTGGCAATTATATGAAAAAAGCCATTGGAAAATATATTCCAACGTTTGTTTGATACGAGAAAATTAAAATACAAAAACTTATGTGATTGTTATATCAACAAGTTTTGAGAAAATTTTAAAAAGACATTCATAATTTCATAATATAAGATACATTTAGAAAAATTTAATAAATTTTCATCAATACTAACTCTAAAATTTTAATTCAAAAAATAAAATGTATTTTTTTAACAATCAAACCAAATTATCAAAATTACTTGGGACAAAATTAAGCCAATATTCATATTTGGTAAAAAAAAAGATTCTAAGTAATCTTAGCATTATTATTTTAGTAACTCAATTAAGAATTTTTTTTAAAAAAAAATTGAACTGATAATTTAGTCTAAAAAATAATTTGATAAATTATTTGTTATCATCTATAGATAATTATTTATTTGATCTCAAAAGATTAATGTTGGAATAATTTGTAACTAATTATTCATTACAATTACCAACAAAATTTTACAATTGATTAAAATTATAAATTATTGATTTAATTGCAAATGAATAGTGTTGAAAATATAATGTATTTATTGATGAATTAATTAATTTTAATTTCTTTTTACAAAAAATTATAGTCTTGTAATAATCATTTTCAATCATTTAACTATAGCTTAGGTAGTGATTGAGACAATCGTAAAAAAAAGAGATAAGTTATTGAAATATTTATTATAAAAATAATTTTAAGGTGTAAAAATGGTTTTTAAGAATATTTAATCTATCTATAAATCAAAAAATCAAATATTAGTAAAGACGAGAGAAAAAATAATTAAATAAATAATAATAATTGATAAGAAATAATTAAAAATTAATATGATATATTTTAAATAAAAAGAAGATAGAGAAAAAAATTTGTTAAAATATATCAAGAGAGAGTTATGTAACGAGAGAGCGAGATAGCTCGTAAAAAGGAAAATGTTTTCCTTTTTTGAAACTGATAAAACATTTTTCCAAAATTATTCTATCATTTTCCGTTGATTGAAAATCATTTTTCATTGACTTTTTCCCGAATGTGAAACAAACACTCGAAAAATGAGAAAAACAAGTTCTAGGAATTTGTTTTTTCCCAAACAAACGCAGCCTTAGGGACCAAATTCATCCTCATGATCAAGTCAAATGATTTCATAGACTTAGGGACCAAAATTTGTCCTCTTTATTGGATTTTAAACCAAACCTTTCCTTTTTAGCATGAAATAGTAACTAATTTGGTTCCTCAATTAAAGGAATAAAGACCAATTTCTTTTTTAAATTAAGTTTTAAATCTTATTGATTAGGAGTTCAAATCTTATTACTGTTATTTTCTTTAATTGAATTCATAATTATCTAATAAATTAATTACATAAGAAAGGAATTATAAATTCCACAACAATATATTTGCCCTATCTCCCAATCATTTCTTTTTGGAGTTTCCCACTTACTACATCCAAGTCAATGACCAAGTCGTTGTCTCATCATAAATTCTCAACTTGGACATGTAAATTCTTCATTCTTCAAATATATACTCAAGGAATAGTCGAATTTATTAATTAGTCTGTTGCAAATTATTCAAAGTTCCATCAAATAAATACTCAAAGGAAAATATAAATTTTTGCATAACATTTAATTACATTACAGGTTGCGAACAAAACAGGCACTTAAACAAGTTTAACTTCCATAATGTCTCATATTCACGTTGAAGTCATTTGTACCCTGTAGGGCAAGCAGCTAGAACCTTGTCCTAGGATAAGGAAATTGGCCTTAATTCGCTTTAATTCTGATGCAACATTGTGAATGTCCATTCTCTCTCTCGGAAACTTTTCTGAACAGAAAACTCCTATCTCACTAATTGAAATCAAACACTCCAGGATTTGATCAGTGCCGATTCCCTCATCAACTTCTCTTAGAAGTATCCGATCAGTGACTTCTATCACTCGGTCAGGCAAAGCCATTTTAACATAATTATGAAGTTCTATTCCATCTTTAAACATGCTATCTGCAGGTCTTTTTCCTGTAATCATCTCTAGCACTAGGATGCCATGGCTGTACACATCTCCATAAGTTGAAACCTTGTTTCCCATGGCATACTCTGCAGAAAATTTGTTTGCATGGTTAATTAATCAAAGATGTTTGATAAAAACTCGTAAGTAAAGGAATGTATAATCCTTCTAGTGATGTATGTTACCTGGAGCTGCGTAGCCGACGGTGCCTTTTAATCCAACGGAGCTTGACTTACTCGAAGATAACTGAGAGGAGGCTTCAGAAAGGAACTTTAATAATCCAAAGTCCCCAACATGAGCAGTCATATCTTCGTCTAGAAGAACATTACTAGGCTTAAGATCACAATGAGCAGTAGGCATTTCGCATTCGTTGTGCAGATATTCGAGTGCATTAGCTACATCAATTGCAATGTTTAACCTCTGAATGAGATTAAGATTTCTAGGCTCGTGCACTTCCTGATCTAATGGATGGACTGGATGCAACCACTCTTCTAGACTTCCATTGACCATGAACTCATGAACAAGAGCTTTGAAATCATTACCTTGAAAATCGGTGCCAGCATATGCGCATAAAACTTTGACAAGTTTTCTGTGCCTTATGTTTAACAAGGCTGCACATTCTGCCATGAAGCTTCTGAAAGCTCCTTTACGTACTAAGTTGAATACTTTCACAGCAACAAACACTCCATCCGATGCGAGAATTCCTCTATACACTGATCCAAAACCACTGGCACCAATTAAATTCCCAGAAGAGAATCCATTAGTTGCTCGAAGGAGGTCTTTGTAGGCTACTCTTCGGAATGGCATCTCCCATGACAACTCTGAAGTGGGCTTATTTTTTGTTTTTCTCAAGCAACACAGAAACAAAAAAGATGTCAGCAAGATTAATCCGATAAGCCACAAGAAATTGAAACTATCAATGTCAGCCTGGTAGAAGATCTTTGCTTTATTGACTTGGATGTGCATGTGGGTAGATTCAACTGAAGTATTCCTCCACAAAGATTCCTGTTCCTTGAAATTGAAACAGCACTTGCATTCTGAAAGACGCCATGCATAGGCACCTCACCTTCAAGGTCATTAAATGACAGATCCAAACTCTCCAACAGCATGAAGTCTCCCAAAAACTTGGGAATTTGACCAGTCAAGTTGTTGTGAGAGAGATTAAGATCTTGAAGTACTCTCAAGGAACTCAAAGACTCAGAAATGGGTCCTTGGAAGAAGTTCCCACCCAAATATAAATGTTCCAAACTCTCGCAACTGCGAAGAGTCGCAGGAATTTCCCCTGATAGCCTGTTTTTGGAGATGTCCAGGTATCCCAGATTCACTAAATTACCCATTTCAAAGGGAAGGGAACCAGTCAGCTGATTTCCAGAGAGGATCAAATACATTGACAAGGATGAAATGCTAAGGACCTCTTTTGGTATGGGACCACTCAGATCGTTTTGGGAGAGTGGCAAAACCAACAAATTCCGGCAGTTTCCAAGACTTGTCGGGATGCTTCCCTGTAAATTATTTTGATCAAAATCAATTTGTATCAGTGAGGTGATGTTCCCTAAAGAAGAAGGGATGCTCCCTGATAACTTGTTTTCATTAAGAAACAATTCACCTAAATTTTGTAATTTACCAATAGAATTTGGTATACACCCAGTCAATTGATTTGCTTCTAAACCCAAAGCATCCAAGCTTATGAGGTTTCCAATGCCATCAGGAATGATTCCACGTATTCGATTTCTTCCAAATTTCATCTCCTTGAGCTTTGTTGAGAAGTTGCTAATGATATCAGGCAACAGTCCTCCAAAATTGTTGTCATTTATAGCCAAAACTTCCAACTTGCTGCTGTTTGAGAAGGTGTATAGAAAGGACAAATCATCATGCTCATTATTTCCATCATTTTCTTGAATTGAAGGCACCCTTAGATTAGGCATGCCTGCTAACGTGGATACTTTTCCGGAGAATTCATTGGATGAAAGACGAATCTGAGCAATTTTTGAGGCATTTAAGAGTGTTGCTGGGATTAGTCCACATAATCGATTGCCGTGAATGCCAAGAAATTCGAAACTTGGAAGAATTAGGCCTATGTATGAAGGAAGTGTACCATGAAATTGGTTGAAAGGCAGAGAGAAATGGATGAGAGAAGATATATTGTATATGGAGGGAGGGATTGTACCGCTTAGATTATTTGAGCCAAAGGCGAAGAAATTTAATCAGTGGTGGATGCAGGACCAAATTTCTACGAAGGCCAAAATAAATTTTTATAAATTTGTCATGTTTTACACAAATTTATATATATTATAAATAACATAATAACATATATTTTAAAATAGTCTCAAAATACAATTACTCAAAATAGAGATTTTCATTCTTTCAAGTCATGAAAATCATCTATAAGCGAATCCATACTAAAATTTTCAACAATTTCTTTTTCAATATACGCTAACAAATAATCGAAAAGAAATTCATCTTCCATCTTGTTACGAAGCTTAGTTTTAACTATGCTCATAGCTGAAAATGATCGTTCCGTGGTAGTCGTAGAAACCGAAAGAGTAAGAATAAGTATTATCACTTTATACACAAGTGGATAACTTTCAAATTGTTTTGTCTTCATCATCCATTGACATAAATCGGATATAGTTGACAATGCTCCGAAATCGAAAGATTCCGTACATAATCAAAATGCTCAAATTACATCCTTAATTGCGGCATTTCATGATCAACGAAGTTTTGAGGGTAAAATTTTCACACC